TTTTTTTTCTGTATAAAAAGTAGGATATATTCAATTTTGTTTTGAGCTAAAACGCTGTTACAGCTATGACTCTGACATGAAAAATTTAGTATCAAATACCACCGTGCAAGTTATAGTTAAAGCTCAGAAGACTCATGTTAACATAAGGGTGCACCGTTGTTACCATGTATACAAATCATGTTAAGGTGGTCAATTATGTGCAGGAATGTCATAAAGGTAACTTAGTGTTAATGAACTAAAACCACAACAAGTCTGGGTAGAAAGCCAGGTTTGAATACAAAATTAATACCTGAGTTTAACAGTCAAATCTATCCCTTTTAAGTCACATACAAACATGTGCCTCAAGCTTAATGTGTTTAGTGCCTCCGTTCTACATGTCACGTTAGTTTTTTCTTTTCCTGCATTGTAGGAGACCAGTCGGTACTAGTGTTTTTTGCAACACTCTGTAAATAAAAAAACAGCGTACAGTCTTTCAGGTAGTGATCTTGATCCGTTAAGATTTTTCAATTAAAGTCTTCATTTTTCCTGTCGACTTCAGCATGTGCGGGCCGAACTGAGGAGAGAACCAGAGCCGCGTTAAGACCGTTTCCCACGAGGACCCCGGTTGAGCCACTACCCAACACGTTTCAGGTGAAGCACTGGAGCTGGGGCAGGGAGAGTCTCCCTTATCACAGAATCACTGAGGTTGGAAGGGACCTCTAGAGATCATCTAGTCCAACCCCCCTGCTCCAGCAGGGACACCCAGAGCACGTGGCACAGGGTGGCATCCAGGCGAGTTTGGAAGATCTCCAGAGAAGGAGACTCCACAAGGAGCCTCTCTGGGCAGCCTGTTCCAAATCAAAAGTTTTCCACCCTGCTGCTTCGGCTGGGGCCTTCGCCCGCGTCGCTGCCACAAGATACGAAAGCAGAAACTTGCGACAGCGACGCAGCTGGCCTGGAGCCCCTCTCACTAGAGACATCCCACTCTGCCCCGGCAAAATAAGGAGACAGGGAGGCAGCATCTTTAGAAGTCAACAACCAATTGCTCCAGTGGCATTTCTTGGGAATATTTCTATTCATGTCATGCTTTTTTGTGCAAGTTAGTATAAAACTGAGCAGGATATCACACAAGAACTGCTGCAGCAAAGAGGTTATGTATCGATAAATAACTTATGAGAGATGTTTTTTAGACAGCTCGTTACAGAGAGATAAACAATCTGTCGTTTGACAAATGGAAACACTGACTTTTCTTAGCTCCTGGGCTTTGATGTTCCTCGTTCTCACAAGAGCTGGAATTTGAATTTAAAAATGGAGAGTCATGAAAAACTCACTTGAAGAGCCTGACAGTTATAGGAATAGACATTAAAGGCCTAAAACAGAAGGCAACTAAGCCAACTTTAATAAGCTCAAATTTTCTGAAGTCCTGAGAGTTGTGGCTTGGCAATCTTATTTTCCTCAGAAGTCAATTCAGCTAGTCCTTTTACTTAAGTTCCCTTAAAATCTGGAAAATTACCTGCATTTTCCCAAATGTACAAAGGGAAAATAATTATTTCCTTTTTGTTGAATATTAAGTGCTTAAAAAGCCTTTACTTCAGTTTCAAATCAACATGAAATAAACTAAAGCCCTTAACTGGTACTACATCTATGGTAGATATTTTAAAATTGAATTATTTAACAGCTTCACACTGTGAAGAAACTCTTAAAACAGTTTCCAAAAGTTAGAAAATCTGCCTTGTACATGGAATATCTGAATGTTTAAGGTGAGTAGTAACACGGAAGCTTCAGGAATTTCTCTCTTCTGACTCATCTCTGTCATGAGCCCTTAGGAATACAGTTTTCAGCATTCCACATGCCCAATAAAAGAAATATATATTTTTTCTTACTTTAAAGGTCTAATAGTGCTTGTTGCAGCTCAGTCCAAAGCAGCACAAAATCTCAACGCATGAGTGTGAAAACACACTGGATTGCTGGTACAGTGGAAACTGGCAATCCTTAGTGTGGGGCTGTGCACAAGCACTTCCGTTTGTTCTTGTATTTGTATACTTTGGCAGAAAGATTTTTGTTGGCTCTCACCAGTATCCTTTAGTCCAAGAACCCACAGCACTCACCAGCACTACTTCTGTCTTTGTCTCAGGCTTTGGAATCACTTTTTCAGTTTCACTTTGGCTGTCGCTTCGGTATCGATAGGCAAATTTCTTTTTGAGAGCTTCTGCTATTAACGCTGCAGGGTCTGCTGGGTCAGCTGCTTTGGATTTTGTATCTTCTGGGGATCTGGAAAAGAAAGGAAGAAGCTTTAACAGTTCCAAACAAAGCTTTAGAAGTTGTGAACACTTTTGCATTCCCGTTTATTTGTGAAGTGTTAATCAGCTTGAAATATTTTTCCATAAATCTAAGACAAATCTCTGAAGTTAACACCCTTGATGTGAACATCTCACCTCTTCACCGCGCGTAGCTTCACGCTGTTCATGTCTTTGAGGATCTCGAGCATGTTTGGCATTTCGGGCTTCTTTGGCCCGTTCTCTGCAAGGGTCTGCCCACACTTTGTCCTTTTGCTTCTCCGCTCTTTAATGAGGTCGATGGCGGATCCGCTCTGTTGCGGAGCGGCCGCAGGCAGCGGCGGAGGCGGCGGCGGTGGCGGAGGCGGCGCAACGGGGACGGCAGCTGGAGCAACAGGACTCAGCCCCACTACAAGGAAAGGTGCAGTCATGTACGGTTAGGTGTAATCCCCCTTCACACCTCAACAGACACCCAGGCAGCCCCGCAAGTCTGTGACACAGGACGGGTGTCACAGGAGGAGGGTCCCCTCCTCACGCTCCCTTCTGAAAGGCAGGTGCTGATCTGGAAGTGCCATGTGCTCAGGGAGCAGTGATTCCTCCTCCTCATCTCGAGGAAGTAAGACTTACCGTACAAGATTCTTAAAAGTAAACCAGAGAGCTCAACTAGTGCTTCAATTCAGGTTTACTCTGAGGTTTACTCAGCTCTCTGAGGCAGTGATGTTTTTAGGCAAGCTAATCATCTGTCTGAACACAGAGATCAAGATTATACTGAGAATTTGATTTTCCTTCACTTTTTTGCCCTTTTTGGGGGTAAAAAATGACAGCTATAAATACAACAGCAGCAGTAAGTTGACAAATAAATCAAGAACCCTCTTTTTAAATGCTTCTCTGAAGAGATGATTAGAACCAAATGATCCAAATCAGATTGATACTGTGTGAATAAATAGAGACAGTACCATATTCTACCAGAAGAGGGAGGTAAAGATGATAAAATCAAGAGCATAAAATTCAGTTTTCTAATAAATAGAGGGTAAGGAAAAATGATGAAAAGTTATTGGTTATTTGGCAGAAAGTCACAAAATAATTAGAATTCAAGACTGAAACCAAATGACTTTTTAAACTATTTGATCAGTTATGGAAAAATAAAGTAACTGCTATCAGCCCACACAAACACTAGCATCTTCTAAGGAATCAGATTCTGACCCAATGCATAAAGATAGGCAAAACAACATATTTTTTAAATGAATGTGTAGAGTATGGCAAATTTATTACCTGCTGTGAGATTCTGCTGTTCTTGCAAGATGACAATTTTGGCTATTTGTGCTCTTAAAGTGGCCAGTTCGTTTTCTAGGGCACTGATCTTCTGCAGAGCTTCCTCGTTGGCGCTCGCGGAGCTCCTGGACTCGGGCTCATCCGGCGACGGGCTGGGTAGGGGCCTCTGTCTTGCCAGGTGGTGCAGTTCACCTGAAGGAGCCTGGGCTGGCTGGGACCAAACTTCTGATCTGTAACAGAAATAGCATTAGACATTTATTAAAGGCTTCCTGACAGATACTACCTAGAGCTAAGGCTACAGCATATAGGAACCATGAATAAAAGTTGAAACTCTGACTTAAAATGTAATTTGTCTTTTCACAAATCACTTCTACCAAAAGATTATACAACTTAGTATAAACAAGTTTCAAATTATTTGTGTTTACATCCCTATCTGGTGGTACTTCCTCCACAGAGGCAGAATTCAGCTTTGGTTTTTAACCCTTTCTATGTTAATGTCTCTCAATAACAATCTGCAAGGAGAGGAAGGAATAACCAAGGATACTCCTTTTTTGATCATCAGGAGCAGTGTCACAGTCTATTTTGCAACTATTGGAATTCTACTGGATTATTTTTTTCTCAAAATATAACATTTCTTGTATGGAGGTTGCAAATTGCCAACCAGGCAAGTTGGCAATGCTAAGGGTTTGTTTAATTGCTAGATTTTAGGAGAACAGATAAATGCGTTTCCCCCTTCACTCCATTTTCCATTTCTCTATTCATAATTGTATTTTGTATGCAATTATGAGTTTTTTTTTGTGTGCCCAAATGGTACCATTTTTCTCCATGGCATGGCAAATACTCATTTGTAGTTGGTTCCTTTTAAGAGGAAGGAAAGTTTCTTAGTTCCACGGCATGTGTTGTACCATTTTTTTTGATTTTTTTTTGTATTCTAAAATGACCTGGTCTAACACTATTCAGCTTCTGTTTCAGAAGCCACGAGCTAAGGCTGGAAGAAGCGCTGTGCTCTGCCCATGTCAGTTCAGTGTTTGATGCACATCTGAATCCTTCTCAGCAAAAACACAAAACATCAGCCTAACTCGGAGCAATCTCATTAAGTGCAGCCGAAAGTTACCAAAAGTGCTAAGATTCAGGTGCTGTTATTTAGGCAGGAAGAAAGGAAAAACTGAAGGTGAGAAGAGGACAGGCCGCCTCCTAGAGCAGTGGCCATCCTCTTCCTCCTAACTGAGGAAAAGGAACCAGCAGTCACTCTGCTCTCAGATCTGCCTTGCAGGAGCTCTTTAAAAGGAGCAGAGCAGCGGAAGGCAAAGCCTGTTTTGGCTCAAAGCAGTAACGATGTTTTTAAGGAAATTTCCCGATTGGGATTTACTGCTGCGGAAAAACATTGTGCTTGAAGTGTCACCACTGCTCTGACTAGGGGCAGCGGAAAATGATCTGTCACTCTCTCTAAAGCTACATTCAAAAAGACTGCAAAACCATCTTAAAAAAAACTAAAAAAATAAATTATTCAGTGACTTTAGCCGCAACATCTATCAACAACTATATGGTCTTTTCATACCACAGAATTTTGCCTGTCTGTTCAACACCTAAGGCAGGCTACACTGCGCAATGCTGCGTATAAACAAAACAAACTGCACGTTGAAACACGCACATAGGCAGGGTCGTGTAAGTAATTCACCTACAATGTTCCACTATAAGCTGTCTTAAGGTCACCATAGGATTATTTCAGTCCTGTCCCACATCCATCTGTCCCCTCCACTCCTCTTTCATACGCAGACATCTCAGCAAAAGCGTCTTTTCACAGAGGGTCCCTTCAAGCAAGAGTTCTCCCCATTGGCCCCTTAAACTAAACAGCCTGATATTCAATCCAGAAAGATTTCTGCCCAAATGAAAACAAGTGGCCAGTAAATTATCTCTGCATTTAATTTTACAGTGTTTCTTCAACCAACAATACATCAGTTACTGGATTCTCACTATGAGCATTGACAGCATTCCAGCTCTTGGCAGCTGAACCCCCCGAAGGGCTGGAGAAGGATCAGTGTTAGCAATGGGGCCATTCGATGAGGGGCGCTTTTGTGGGGACAAGGCTGACGGACACTGTCACTCTCCAGCGTGTGACAAGTCTTCCCAACATCATTCATAGGGCTCATCATTGAGTGTTAAGAACAGCAGATTCTTGTTGGAAAAAAAGCTAGTTTTTTTCCTCAGTTCGTGACTTCAAGCAGACCTAGGGATTTGAGGAGCATACCTGAGCCTCGTGGAGACTTCACCTTCCTCTTCAGCAACCCACCCCACGTCTGCAAAGGAGGCCACCGCATCATCTCTGTTGCCTTCTGTGGCATGAGAAGTAAGCTGGATTTTAAAGATAAGATGGAAGATTTTACAGACTTTTTCCTAACTCGTTTCTCTGTTATTTCACGGTAGTACAAACAACTAATATTTTTAATGAGGCTGGATGCACCTACATCGTTACGCCATACAGACATGCATGAAACACACTTGCAGACTGAGCACACTTGCTACTGCTCTGGGCTTGGTCGAGAACCTGTTTGGGACAAATTGTTGCCCATTTTCACTCTAGTCTGCTGCACACTTCACAGAAGCTGGTTTTGTTTTTAAGGTGCACGGCTACCTATACTACCACATGAAATTACTGAACACTGTAAATCTAACGCAAATTGTTACACTGAAGAAAGCAAATGGCAACACTCGCAAGTAGTTAGCTTTATTAACTCAAATAACGTATTGTTTTATGGTGGCAAGGAGATTTAAAAAAAAAAAAAAAAAAAAAAGACAATCTTCAGGGTTACTACTACTTCTCTAGTCTTACAATCTGATTTAGTACATTATCTGGAGGATGAAGTTTTGTGGAAGGGTGTTTCTCTTCCAGAATTTCTGTGCAAGACTAAAGCTGTGTCCGTTACAAGAAGGGAAACGGAAGCACTGCTGCTAGTTCAGTAATCGCAAGGACTTTGAATGATGGGTAGGATAATAAGTTAAAAATAAACAGCTCATCAACAATCTCATGCACTGCATGCCTAGAAAAAAGATCATTTTTCAACATGCTTCTGGCATTTGCTTTTAAGCTATTTGGAGCCAAAGGTGAGCCGGGCTCCAGAAGCTGGAGCCGCTGCCCCGAGTTCCCCCTCCGCGGCGCAGCCTCCTCTGCTGCCTGCGCTCCATCTATCCCCGCACGGGGAATTTGCACGTGGTGGCAGGGGCTGCTAGTGCTCCTGCCCACCGGCCCATCAGGCGGGCTTGGGTCCTTCCTGCCAGCACTTCCATCCGCTTCAGGCTTGGGGCACCTGACCTCTGTGAGAGGAAAGCAAAACGTGGCAGCCAGGCCTGAACGTCAGCCCAGACTGGCAGCAGAGCCAGCACCAGAAGACTGGAGCCTTGATGGGATACAACCATTCCGGACGAGCACTCAGAGGTGTTTTGGCTGCAGCCTTTGCTACATGACTTGCAGGGAAACAGAAGTTGTGGGGGTTTGTTTTGTTCTGTCTTTTGTTTTCCCGGGAATTTTTACCAACAGCTTCGGAAGTCGATATTCAGCATCTTCCCCTCACACACCCGCGACTTCTGCGCAAGCCTTCGCCGCCGCTCCCGGGAGGAAACAACAGGGTTTGTTCCAGGTAGCATCAGCACAGATGGCAATATGTTGATCACATTAACAGTTGTGCCTAATACCATAACAGTCTGCCTCTCTTTAAAACACTCTAGAGAATACTATGCTGCAGGTTAAAATTCTCATTGTTTAATGCTTTCTTGGATTTTTTTTAATTAAAAAAAATAATGACTACAACATCGCTATTAACGTTAATAGCAATAAAAAATACCTCTTAAGTTAGCCACTTCTTGCAGATCACCTGAATTTTCTTAGTAAAAATTGAAGATATATTAAAGGTACAATCTATACTCAAATCAAAAATCATTTTATAAGTCAACACTAAAGAATGAATTTACCATCGCAAAACTTTCTGCACCAAGTTTAATCCAACATTTATTAGCAAGTCTTCTATTGTGCAGTGATGCATGTGTCATCTTAGTTTTTAAATTCATATTTATACGTAAACTGTATTTTCCTGTTACACATGGGTACCCATATACCCATGTTTTTGTCTAAGTCTCCCTAAAAATCAGAATGCCTTCCAAAGCAGGAGATTTAGAATGCAAAGACAAGCCAAGATGTTACTTAATGCTAAACATTAAAAATAACTACCTAAATAAACGCCCATCTCCAGCCCTTGCTTGCCTGCAGGACGGTGCCCAAGCAGCCCTGCTCCTGGCCGAGGGGCAGCTGGACAGCAGCTCTGCCAGCACCTGAACAACGTGCGGGGCCCTGGGAAGAGTCAGGCTGTGAAGTGATTTTCGCCTTTAAGAGCCCCAATCCTATTAAGCAGCAGGAGCTCAAGCAGTGAAAGCAGCTTGCTTCTCCTTCCTCTGGAGGAAGGTTTTAACAGGTTTTTAAGGCTTTCTTTCTGATGTTTCCTACGTTCCGACCAGTTTCCTGGGACCCTCTTGGGTTCCACTGCAGGGCTCTGCATGGTCGAGCAGGACAGGGACAGACTGTGGTGCTGGAGCGCCCGGGATTAGTAACGTGGGAGGAAGGGGCCGCCCTGGGGACGGCGCTGCAGGGCCGGTGCAATACAACCTGTCTACAGCCAAAAGCTCAACGGCTTTCTCGTTTTTCGCCTGAAGACTATGCATAAACCTAAAGCTACAACTTAAAGGGGGTATTTATGAACCATTTTCATGTGTTCATGCCAGACAAGAGTATTTAAGATAAGTTCTGCTATTTTTTACTGAATGTATTAGAAGCATTTACCAATTCATTTAAATGTTGACTGTGGCAAAATCCTTGCAGACAGATACTATGACAGGCTGTAGAGCGCACACACACACACACACACAAAAAAAAAAAAAAAAAAAAACACACCACAAACCTCTTGTTACTCCTCTGTTTTCAGAGTACTAGTATAAAAGCTTGCTAGAAAAGAACGAGTGTGCATAGCAGAGATTCTGTCACTATCTTGTATCCATTTATCATAAATGAAATGAAAGTCTGTAAAAAGTTTGGTGTTCTTGGATGAAGTTAGAAACACTGATGATATACATGCACCCTCAGATGAGGCGAGTAAGTTTTGGGTTGTTTTTTAAATAAAGCAACTTACAGCAAGGTTCAGTGCATGGTCCTTTCATACTATAGCTAAAGCTGGCAAGAAAGAAAAAGGAAGAGACAGCTATAGGAAAGTGTCAGTTGCAACAGCATAAAAACAGTCAAGATGGTACTGAACTTCACTGCGGAATCTTAACACTGTGATGAAGACATAGAAAGCAGACACCAGCATCACACTTTCTCATGTTCAGCAGTTCATAAATTAGAAGTTCAAAGTCTGCATAAATCAAAAAAGCTTTATGGTGTTTAAACTCTCGATTTTGTAGTATTTCAATTTAATCCATTATGACAGTTTGTACTTTTATTTTTAGAAGCCCTTCCTTCCACCTAATAGGAGATCAATGTTTATACTTAGTGTGTGTAAAGTCTAAGTGAACCTGACAGTGCCTCTAGGAGGAAGAAAGGCAAGTATTTGTTCTAACGCAGAATTCAAATGAACATACATAATGGCTTTTTTTTTTCATTTAACATTAAAGATACTCAGGAGAAAAAGCTTTCTCAAACGTATCTTACAGCTCTCTGCAAGTACATAAACCAGCACTACATTCTTATGCATGCTAGATATTAAGAGAGGGCAATATTTGCCTAATTATTTGCAAATTAACATCATCTTCCTTGTATGGTCTTTACAGTAGGGAAATCAGGTACATCACAGGAGGACCTGACTCTCTTTCAAATACAAGGCAAATGTAGCCATGCTCTTAGAGTAACTACCATTAACATACACCCAAAAGTTCAAGTCCAGTCCTTTTGTTTCCACTTTCCCCTGCACAACTGTCTGCCTTCCTCCCTCACTCATCTGTACATTTAAGTTTTGCAAAGTCGCTACCAGTGAAAGCTGCTTCTGGATTCTCAGTGACTCTCTCAGGAGCTTTTACTACCACACCAAAAAGGCTTCGACACTCATCTGAACTGCTGTAATGGCAAATCTAAATATTGTGTATACATTTTGCATTGGCTAAAAAGATCAATTGAAACAGTTAAAATTTTACCTATGCAGGAATTAACATGTCTTAGTATGGATGGAGAAACGATTCCCACCATTTGACTTTATGTTCTCCTCCTTTGCTTAACCCAACAAGTATTCCTGTCAGCTTGAATTTCAAATACTCATTTTCTCCCTTTCTATCCCCCCACTCCCAGCATACACAGAGCTGAAGATGGCATGTGTAACAGTTTCCATTTGCCCATCTGTTCCTGAAAGACTTGTTACAAAGAACAAGGATTTTTCCTCCTCCTTAAATCTTTCTTCCTTCACTCTTTACCCTCCCACTATACGCAGTCCAAGCTAGAAGGAAACAAGTTGGAAAGTTGCGCAGAACTGATATGCCCCTTTCACCTACACAGTGCTAGCCTTGTACGTAAAAAAAGGCAAACAGGGAACTCATGTTATCTTTTAAATAATTCTTGCTTTTAAATTGTTTATTTTCCCAAAGATTTTTAAGCAACACTGTTCATCCTTACATGCTTCTTAAGCCTAATTTACAGTACTGGTTTTCAAAATGCATTTCAGACGTTTCTCTCTTAAGAGCAGGATTTTTTTTTTCCTAGTATAACTTTTTACGACTATAGTATGTCATTTTAGAAGTTATTTAGAATAAAATTTTGTTTCAAGTTTCATTACGTGTGTGGCAACAACACTGGTTGGGGTTTCAGGCAGTATCAAGATGTGCACAAAATACAAACTGAAAAGAAGTAAACTAACTTTTCTTACGTGCCAAGTTTATCACATTCTGCTTCTAAGAACCCTCTAATCAATCTTTTTAAATGTACTACTGATTCGCTTAAAGTCTTTTGATGCGAAAGCAACTCTCATTAACCACTGTAGCAAAACAGGTATTCTGAACCATTGAGAACACCTACCTGGAACTGAACTCTTGGACACTGAATAAGAGAGAGGTTACTGCCAATTTTTCTTACAATGCTTCGAGATGAACCATAAGGCTTGCTTGACCAAAGCACCTAGAAGAAAAGGTTTAAAAAAAAAAAAAAGTCACCTGTTAGGCCATTTGTCTTGTACTTCATATATTTACTATACTTCAAGATTAGATTTTCCTTATCTTTCCAAATTACACTTGAAACGAAGTTATACTTTTTTTTTTTTTCTCTCAAGGGGGATTAGATGTGCCTTCTTTTATTGTATCTTCTTTTGATTGCTCTATTATTTATGGTAATTGTATAGAGTAAAAGAAGACTTTAATCCTAGCATAATACTAGGAAAAGAGACAAAATAGAAGCCAAAAAAAAAGAGAGCGGTATAAGCAGACAAAATTTCTGCAGAGAAAGGCAACAGGAACAATTTCTAGAGAAAGAAACAAAACAGAACAAAAAAAAAAACAAACAAAATGAGAAGAATGAAGACTGCAGCACAATTAACGGAGCACTTGTTTAATTAACAGTTAGAACACTGGTAATTAAAAAAAAAAGGACAGTGTTATAACTGGAAATTGAACCTACTACTCAGATCCTAGTTTTTAACAGCTCATAGCTTCAAGCAAACTCAACATCCTGTTAGAAGGTTGCCCAACACAGCGAGCCCAAGCTATTAATATCGAAACAACTCTCACAGGTAATAGCCATATTCTTGGGTGAATAGCGTAATGCAGCTGAGGGGAACTCAAAAACCACAGCTAAATAATGTTTTGCTATGGTAAACAAAGACCACTATTCTCACATTTTGATAGTCCAATAAGAACACTGGTGTCTCTCCCCCCGATTATATTAGCTCAGAAACTTGATGTGAACATCTTGTCTGGTTCAACACTCAACTATTTTTTCTTCCTGACTTTAAAGGTACGTATACATTTTGACAAAATAAACGTGCACTGGGCACATTCTACCCTGGATGTCCACATCTGAGCTGCCACTCTGCCAGTCCTCCACTCAGACTCCGTTTGTCCATTTTAGGAACTGTACATCCTCTCATGATTAATATGCAGCTAGATTTAAATGCAAATTTTAAGAATGTAAAGTATTCTATTGGTACTCCAGGATGGACTATTCAAAGACGTCACATTTATGAAAATCATATTATTGCTCGTCTATGTCTGAACAAAACGTATATAAATCAGGAGTCCTCAAGAAAGAATCACTGGCAAACAGCACCACCATAAGACAGTGTCATTATTTGCAACAGACTCGTTAGAAGTAAAATAGTTGAAAATACTGAAAAAGTGATGTTGCTTTGGAAAAAAAAAAAAACAATCAAGGGAAGGCCTGGTAAGTTACATAAGTACTTCCACAACAGCAGGAGAGCCTGGGCTACAGGCTGTATAACCAACATAAGTGCAGTGCACTTCAAACAATTGGTTACCCTTGATTACAGACTGTTCACATGATGGGAAGAGATGCTGACCAGGTCCTGGATCCTCAAACACCTTTGGTGCCCAGAGGCCATCAAGGTTCTTCAACACACGGTGCTTTGGTGCACTAGAACTTTGAGTTGGTTACTTTTGTTAATTCAAGATATGCCTAGAGAGTATTTTCAGAAAACTGCATGTAAGCTGTGCCAGAAGGTATGGAAATAAAGTCATCGCATTGCTCAGCTAAGCCGAGGAGTCCCAGCTCTAGCCGTGCCCACATAACTCCTTGTTGACTTGAAGCACTGGCAGAGCAAGTCTGCAAAATATTTCTTAGTCATACCCCTGATTGCATCGGTGCTTTGCTCTTCTCCAAAACAGCTCGTACTCAGAAATGTAACTGCATTAGCACAAGCTTGATGCAAGTAGAGAACGTGAAGAGGGTAACCCAGGACTATAACTTGGGTTTTCCCCCTTATTTAGATTGTGAAAAGGACTAGGCCAACACCCATGGTGGTCCACAGGATTTTGATACTTTGAATTTTCAAGTCTATACTGCTTGGAAACTCAGATTCCAGACCTATTTAAATTCTAAAATACTGATTCTTATTGGTCGTAGCAACATACAAGATATGTTAGTTTTGCTATCTATAAATGCCTGGGAATAATAAAAGCTTCTACCACTATCATCAAAACTAGATCTATCTATTTAAGGAGGTTAAGTACTGCAAGTAGCTGCCAAGCAATTCCACATTATTAAAACATTAGACTCTATTGACATCTTATAGAGATTACTGCACTGAGGTCAATACTTTTGCTTAAGATAGCTCTCTGAAGGAGCCAGTGACACAACAGTTACTTTGCAGTGGATCTTTCTCTCTCTCTATCACTCCCTCTCTCTCTCTCTCTCTGCCAAGCACTGGAAAAAAACATACAAGCCTTCCTACAAGAGGAGATCTAAGCTCCTACATTCCTCTGTTTCCCCAATAAAGAGCATGGGCATTGTGCCCTCATGTACTGACCACTCCCCGAAAAAGAGGTAAATGTTGCACAAAAAGTAGCATCTCAGTTTCTTAGGGCTTTTCATAACCTCAAGACTCGATCAAAGTGAGAGTATTTAAGAATTAATATCACTGTAAAAAGTCAGTTGAAAGGTTTATTTTTCCCAGCATGAAAGCACAGTTTACACTGTAACTACACACACACTTCAGTGTCCAAGCAGTAACTGTCATACTTATTCAGAATTTCACATAGTATTAAAAGTCTTCTGCTAAAACAGATGAGCACAAAACAAAATGTATCAAGTGCTTCCCATACTTAACTTCCTGGAAAAAGATAAAATAAAATAAAGTAATAAAGTAAAGCCAGTCTGAAACACTTACTGAGTCCATGTTCAATCCAACTTGTTCAAAAGCCATCCTAATTAAGCGTTTAATCCAGCAAATCATCTGGAATGGAAAAAACCTTTTCAAACTTGGATTTAAGCCTTCGACACCTACAGGGCTGCAGAGGTTCCATAGTCCTTCTGAAAAGAGAAATGTAAACATTTTAAAAGCCTGAAACATATACAGGACTAAATTGGCATATGCATTCCAAAAACAAGCTTTGGAAACAGTTGCTGAAAACAAGACACTTTCAAAGCCAACAGTTCCTAGCCCTGCAAAGCGTAGATGTTTATTCATTATGGGCTGTTTTTATTATTATTATTATTTGTAAGAACCAGAGCTGTTGCAAAACTAATGCTGAAAGACCTGTGGATAGAACTGCTAACCTGTGCTTGAGCAGATGATGGTCTTCACCAACTGTAAGCAAGCAGAGCACCTGCAGATGGGGACTAGCCCCAAGGTTAAAGGGCCATGCCCATGGCTAAAACTCGTTTATACGCAGCAAACAACTACAGAAAATAGATCATTTCTCTTCATCCACATTCTCTGACAGCTTCGTTGCCTCCATTTTCTCACAGCTGAGGAGAGAAAGGAAATATGGAAAAAATGACTAATGCAAGAAAATAACAGGAAACAGCAAATATGTGGGACCTGAAGATATTCACGTGATTTATGAAGTTGGCTAGATTTCAGATTGTGTCTATTTATATGTACTACCATTTGGGTAAATCAAGATTTTTTTTGTATATATAAAAAAAAAAGTTTTATGTCAGCCATAATTTGGATATCATTAAGAAGCCTGTGCTACCAAAACCAAGAGGGAAGCCATATATTTAGGTTCATACTTGTTTTGTATACCAACTAGAAACAAAACTGTGTTGGACCAGACTGAATAACAAATCTGTGGCATGAACAACAGTCTTGCAAAGCCACTAGATAAGGATGACTAAAGCCATATAACTGCAAGAGATTGACACTTAGGAAGTTTAAGAGTCAGGAGATGGAAAAGTTACCGAGCATGAAAGTGTTCCCAGGCAGTACAGCTCAACCATCACAGTTTCCATCACAAGCACAGGTTTTAACAGCTTACAGTTCCTTAGGTAACAATAAGTAGGTAATAAGCTACTTCTGACGGAAACCTGGCAAAAACAGCTCAACACTACAGACACTTTTTTTTTTTAAGACAGTTTTAAGTTATTATTTAGCCTCTACCTAAACTGTCATCTAAATGGAGATCTCAAAGGAGAACATGTCTAAAACTCTGATGCTTTTACCCAGCCTACTAGTTTCCCAGAATTATCCCCAGACAAACTCGACAGTCACTTCTCCCAGACTCTATTGCACTACAGGTTGCTTCATAAATCTCAATTATTTCACAATGATTCTGCCTGCCAAGAACACAAAGGGGTCACTCCAGATGAAACTGCTGGACAGCAAGATTGAAAACAAACTTTTCTCTCATGCCAATTTCAGAAGTGGAAATTAACTATCTGTTATTTACTAGTCTGAAATAAAATCTCATTTCAAAAGTTGATGCTTGCTTTATTTATCATTTACACTAAATAAAAAATTAAGAAATTAATATCTCTGCATTTTTCAGTCTTGTGGTTCCCCCTTAAGTTCCTTGAACTCTCTTTTGCCCCCATTTTCCACAGCCACCTTTGCAGGTGTTATTCAATACTTTCATATCAGGTATCACTCCACAAAGCTGAGAGGTAATACCACTTATAAATTATAAAATGCTAATGAAATAATTATAAAGGCTCCAGAGGGTATACACAGAAAATATTCCAGTCGGTAAACATGAAATGGAAGCCTTAGCCAGGCTCTCAGGCAAGTGCTACATATGAAAGCTCATCTAATGACATTACATCCACAAGGAAGTACATTAACAAATTAATAAAGGCCAATAGAAGATTACCAGAGCAGCAACAAACCAAGAAGACAGGAAGAAGCTTCTGCTCAAGAACTACACTTTTATAAAGACTATTACATTTACAAGCAACATGCCTGTTTGGCAGAGATCCCTCAGCACTACCCAGAAACCTGCTTTTTTGCTTGGAAGCCACAAATGATCAGGTGTCCTACTATTTTCAGGGACAGCTGTCCAGAAAGATAAACTAAAACAAATAAAAGCCAGGGAATGCTACAGAAAAAGCTAGGGCTGCAGCAAAGCTAGTTTCAATGTGAAACCAAAAGCAAGTATTAAAAATAACACATATTATCAATGCTAGTTTTTAAAGACTTTCTTAAAAGCATAATGTGGTCACACACACCAATAAGTGCAGAAACAAAACATTAACCAGATCTTGCCAGCTAATGATGGAGAGGAAAAAAATCCACATTGAGCAACAGTTTAACCAAAAGGCTTTGCTCATCAGAGATCACATCACCTATATACACACAGCACAACGTGTTTGTTTTTTAAACAAAAACATTTCTGAAAAGACATTTCAAACATTCTCTACTTCTCCCCAAAAATCTTGGCAGTGATTTCCCGTTTCTGCATGAAGCAACTGGATGCCCACTAGTGACCTCTATGAAAACATCAGTCTGATTCAGCAAGTTAGTGCGAAGACTTAAGAGGCAACGTGGACAAACCCGGCTCCCTTTTCCCACCTACATGGAGCGTGCATGAGGGGCAGCTCCTTCTGACGGATTCAGTCTCCACCGCCCTCAGCCCCAAGGCAGCCGCACCCGGCGCGAGGG